GGGGTCCTGCAAGCTCACGCTGCTGGATGTCGCACAGAGACCCCAGGACGCTGGCTCCTGGGGGCAGCCTGGGCAGGTCTTGCATTGTTCTAGAACATTCTTCACCTTCGGCAGGGTCGCCTGTGGCTCCAGGCCCAGGCAAGGTGGAGGTATTTCTGCAAGTCACAAAAACACCTAGACAGATTAGAGTTCAGCAGTGAGTCCTTGGTCCACTGGGGGCAGGGTCCCCACATCCCCCCTCTCTGTGTCCCTGGCGCAGCTTGCCACGAGCCCTTGAGAATTATGTGCAATGCAAACCCGGGCCTGGAGCAGTAGGAACTCCGGCACTATGGGGACACAGAGAACACGCAGGCCCGTGGCCCGACTCTCCTACAAAATCACCCTCCTGTCCTGCTTTGTCGCCCACCTCACAGCATGGTTTTAGGAGACTATGTCAGCTCAGTGATCCCTCAGAGATGCCTTTCCCTTTAGAAAGAATCAAAGCCTTCTAACTGGACCCATGTATATGCAGCACTACAACTACAAATGTAACTTTTGTCAGGATATTGGGTCCCCCGGTGGGGTACAGGAATCCATGAAATCCTCAACAGCCAATCAGAGCTATTGATCAGCTCAAAAGCTGCTATGCAAAATTGGTAAAGCCACCGACGGCGCAGGACAGGGCTGTTGTACCCATATACCCAGGTCCGTGCAGGGAAACGGACCATCCCTGCAGGAAGGATGGGAAAGCTTCCAGGCCCCTGTGGCCACCTTCACCTTCAATGGTCTGAAAACCTGAAGCCCACAGTTCCTAAAGGGTTATCAAAGGCCAGCGTGCTCCAGCAGCCCACTGGTGCCTGCTGGCTTTGGTGGATTCCTAGCCAAAGCCCCCTCCCAGAGGTGAGCAAATAAGCGCATTTCCTGTTGGAAAACCTGGGATGAAAGGAGGCATTACTGAGAAGGGAAAAACCTAGATTTAAACAGACTCTCTGTTTCAAGCTCACATGTAAAAAATATTTTCAGTACAAACTGCCTCCTTATTCATCTGTAAAGCCTTGGAATTAAAAAAATAAATAAATATGATTTAGAGGCAAATGTCTGACTTGACTACACTAGATTAGCTAAGAAATCTCCCCAATCCAGCAGAGGCACACAGCCCCTCCCAGCCACTACCCTGGCCTCCGGGACAGCTGGAGAGCCACGTGCCTTTGCTCCAGAGACTTTGGCAGAGGGTGGAACCACCCCCTCCCTGAGGCAAACCTACAACAGCCTTCCCTTCCCCACTGGCTCCCCTCAGGAAGGAGCAGACCCTTCAGGGACCTCAGTTGAGGTCCCTGCTACCTAAGGCTCTGAATTCTGCTACCTGCTGAGGGCAGTGTGGCCTCCCATCTCTGAGGCGGAGCACAGAGTGAACTGCAGCTTCTCCAGGTCATGAAGAAGGAACCCACAGCTACATGTGGGCCCCAGCAGTGGAAAGGATGTCTCACCTCAGTCGGTGACCAGGCAGGGGTCAGCATGTTCATTGGAAGAAGCATGGGACCCCACGGCCTCCAGTGCCAGAGTAGACGGGAGGTTCAGGCCCACCTCAGGCGATGTCCCTCAAGTCCCCGCCGACCCACACCACAGAGGGGTGACAGCCGCATCCAATGCCCACCATACTCAGCTCTGTCCCTCCCCCGGTGTTACTCCAAGGCCCAGCTCATAACCAGAGGAAGCCTGAGCCACGGGCAAAACCCACCTTGTTCCTGCGGCTACTCGGTCTCAAGCTTCCTCCACTGGTCTGGCAAGGGAGAAAAGAGAAGAAATGAACACCCCCGCCAGCACCTCTGCTCCCATGTCAGGTTGAGCTGGTGTCGGTGTTGCAGGGTGGAGAGCATTGCAGGGTGCAAGGGTTAAAGTCATATCATCCTCTTCCTCCTGGATCATGCGAACAACATCACTGGGGGGTGGACACTTTCTGCGATATTGGGAGTAACATCATCTTCTGTGCCTTGGAATATTAAGGACAATATCATGGGGGGCGTGTACATCTTCTGCAATATTGGGAATAATATTCTCCTCTCTCCCTGCACACTAGGAAAAGATATCACAGAGTGGGTGTTCACCTCCTGCGATATGGGGATTAACACCATCTTCTCCCCTTCTGGATATCAGGAAGAGTATCACACGGGGGTGTACGGTGTCTGCGATACTGGGAGTAATATCAACCTCTCAGCCTTGGAATACTAAGAAGAATATCACAGGGTGGATGTACACCCCTGCCATATTGGGAGTAACATCAGCCTCTCCTCTCCATGGATATTATGAACAATATCCTGAAAGGAGCTGGGCACATTCCTCAGCCCCCGGGCTCAAACTCCCTGAGCCTAGTACAAACACATCCATCCTCCCATCCACCCATACCACCATATATCTCTCCAACTCCCTGAGCCCAGTACAACACCACCTGGGAAGTCTCCGATAAGGGGACAGCCGTTTCAAGGTTACTGAAAGCGCGGGAGCCAAAAGAATTTCTTTGTTCCCCTGCAACTTTCGGGCTATAAAAAGCAAACACTCGCATTGTTCGGGGCCTCTTGTATACTGTGTAAAGAGGGACCAGGTCGAACTTGTAGTAAAGATCCTTGCCGCTTGGCTTTGACTCTGGACTCTGGTGGTCTTCTTTGGGGAACAAACAGTCTGGGCATTACAATCCTAGGCTGGGTGTATGCCTCCTGCTCTATGGGAAATCATATCATCCTCTCCCCTTCCAGAATATTAATAACAATATCACAGGTGGGTGAACACAGCCTGTGATACTGGAATTATTATCATCCTCTCCTCCTCCAGATAACGGAACCATATCACAGAAGAGCTGTACCCTCCCTGCGATATTGGGAGTAATATCATATGCTGTTTTCTGTGAATATTAGGAGCAATATCACCGGGTGGCTGTCCATTCATTGCTATGGTGGGAGTCATGTCTATTCTACCCCTGGATATTAGGATCAGTTTAACAGGTTCGCGTGTACACCTACGGGTGATATTAAAACTAAAATCATGCTCTCCTGTCCCTGGATATTACGAACAACATCACAGGTAGGTATACACCCCCTGCACGTATTAGAAGCAATAATAGATTAATATAGTAAACATCAATGATCGATTTTAATAATTATCAGGCTGGTCCTCGAACTCTTGTACTTCAGGTGATCTGCCTGCCTCAGTCTCCCAAAGTGCTGGAATTACAGGCGTGAGGCACCGCCCCAGCCAACACTTCTTGACATCCCTTTTTGGACCTCAAATTCAGCATACCGAAAACACACTTTTGATTCCCTGCTGCTATAACCCACTCCTCCCAGAGATCTTTCCCGATCCCATAACAGCATCTCTAATCTTCCAGTTACTCAGGCCTAAATCCTTTGACATCATCCTAAAACTTTTTTTCCTCTCTCTTGTCATCCACCATTTACTCTCTTTACAATATATGCCAGAGCTAACCACTTCTCACATTCCTTCATCATATTCCAACCAGGTCCAACCATCATCACAGCGCTCTGGGTTACATGCAAAAGCCTCCCAATCGCCAGGCACACAGTGGCTCACGCTTGTAATCCAGCAAGTATGGTAGGCCAAGGCAGGTGGATCATCAGAGATACAGGAGCTCAAGACCAAGCCTGACCAACATGGTGAAACCCTTCTACTAAAAATACAAAAATATTAGCCAAGCATGGCAGTCGGGCGCCTGTAATCCCAGCTATTCGGAAGGCTGAAGCAGGAGAATCACTTGAACTCAGAAGACAGAGGTTACAGTGAGCCGAGATCGTGCCATTGCACTCTCAGCCTGGGTGACAAGAGTGAAACTCCATCTCAGAAGTTAAAAAAAAAAAAAAAAGCCCTCCCAACCGCATGTCTCCTTCCGCCTTTCACCCTGCCCTGCATTCTACCTGCCACTCTCAACATTTCGGGAAAAAAAAAAATTATATCCCAAGAGGAAAGTACAATGGGGTGAAACTGTTTGGGGAATCTGAGGAGTAGTAATGCGGAATTCTCTGGTACTATATTTTGCAAACTTTTTCCATACATCGATTTGATTTCCGAATTTTCAAGAGTTAACAAAAGAAAATAAAAACGACTCTATCTCCTTTGTTGGAATCATACCATGTATCTTGTCCCTGGCAACTTAAGGACGTTCTCAAACTAACAACAGTCTAATGTTTTTCATGAACACTAAAAGAACTCTTGTTCTAGTTTTCACTTTCCTGTGCTTGGCAGTAGAAGTGTGGGTGGTGTGGGTTTGTGTGGGTGTGTATTTCATATATATGGTGTGGGTATATATATGTGTGGGTTGTAGATGTATATATAGACGAGAGGGAGAAATATATATATGGTGTATATATAAAGATATATTGTATATTTCAATGGTAATGTGTATATATATAAATATGTGTGTGTGTAATATATATATACGACCCCATAGCCTGTCCTAACCAGTTCTAAACTTAGTCAGAAAAACACATACCTAAGCAGAGAATTTCAAAATAATATGATGAATATTTTGATAGAGGATGTGTTGCTATGGAACACGCTGCTAAGACACAAAACCTCCTAGATGGGACAATGAATGAATGAAGTTTGCACCTATAGTCACCCCTCTGATATCCCCTCAAACCTTTATAGTTATATGCATTTGCTTCCCCAGGACCCCGTTTCATAAGGTTTAGTCCTAGAGTCTAGCAAGTTCTACTACAGGCTGGCACACATATGCCATTCAAGAAACAGTGGCGGATGAATGCACGAGTTAAGAACCTTTGTCAGCCAGTGCTCAGTAATACACAATGCACTGGTATGCAAATGATATTTTTGTTGAAAGCACAATACACGGATCACAAATGTATCTTTCCAGACGAAAGCACACAGGACCCGCTTCTCGTCCACACACACACGACCGTTACCTACCTTAAAGCACGTTTAAGAAGCTCCCCTTATATAAAAGAAAACCTCCTCGTTCATTATCAATGGCATGTAAACCAATAAGCCTTCACCTCTGATGACATCTCTTCCATCCCCAGGGCTAGATAAAGGAGGTTCCGGAAACCCTGGTAGTTGTGAAGGTGGCTCCCAGCTCTGACACTCTTGAACCCTGCGGACGCGGAGGTCACACAGCAGAACAACCGAGGGAAGCATCATCAGGCTTCGAATATCTTTGAACCAGAGACAGTAAATAGGCTTCAACCAGCTGAAGACACCAGAGATTCACGGTGGCCACCTGAGGGGTTGTGCTCTTAAAAAACAAAAATTAAACACAAAATTAAAAAATTAAGAAAGGAAGGGGTCAAGAATCCATCAGGTCTGACTGAGACGTGTATCAGTGACGAACACCCCGTATGGCAAAACAGCTCCGGTGCGCTTTGGGTTCTCTTCAGCAGTATTCAAAGGCGTGTGCTTCCCTAAGACTAAGCCACGGGAATACCCCCCGCAACACTGCCAAGAGAAACGTCTACCATGGATTTGGCTAGAAATACAGTTGTCTTTAACAAATTAACACTGAATAAATCCTGCCTTGTTAGAGCCTGCGAGAATGACCTTCTCAATGATAACGGTTATCACTACAATCTCCAAACATCTGCGATCCTGCAAGGAGGAACTGTGACAGCGCAGGTCACATGTCCAGAATGCTTCCCAGACTGCCTGTTACAGAATAAAAGAAATGAAACCCCCCCTAAGAATGTCTTCACTCACATTTAGCCGGTTGTTCCTTTGTGTGAATCTCTGTGCTAAAATGGCCATTCTTCCCCACAGCCTAAAGTCATATGCTACAATAAATGAGACTCACATGAAGCCAGAAACGTGCAGATTCGAGGAAACCAACACAAATGAAATGGGCTGGAGAGTGTGGCCAGGAGGATGGTACTTCCCAGGAAGCAATTACTTCATCTCTGCCCATGAAGCAGGCAGCTGTCACTGTCCCCCATGTCCACGCCAGCCACTCGAAGTACGTTCTAACCAAACTACCTCCAACAATCAACATCAATACACCACACAACTGGCTTCTGAAAGGAAGCTTGCAACCAACAAGAAACTGTAAGCACAACTTTGAAAACCTGTGCAACTTAAAACCTTGGAAAGGAATAAACACTGCCACATTTTGACTCAAATATTGTTACGGGGTAGCACCGCAATAATTCACTGAAACAAAACAATGAATGAGGAATACTTTTATATAGGAATCAGAGGAAGCATTACTAAACATTTAAAGAAATAGGTCAAGAAACTGCTAGGTTCAAATGCTACCGTGAGACACTGTCAGGGCCTTAGGCAAATTCACTTCTCTTGGTCCTGTTTCTAGGTTCATCAAAAACCAGCTTTGGATTAGGGAATCTGTTGCTTCCCAAAGCCTTCCTTCTGTGATTCCAGCCCAGATTTTAGGACTGCTCTCCCACTTGGTATATGAAAGCACTTTCTAGTATAATAGCAAGAGTACATTTCTGTGTTGAATGCGGTTTGGGACCTACTCTATGAGGCAGAATAGCATCATGGAACTTTAAGCATGACGACAAGGCGCACTCTAGATAAGGATAACACATAAGATGTGCCTGCTGACAGGCTGGAGTGCCAGGTGGCGTGATGATGGTTCACTGCAGGCCTCGGACTTCCGGGCGTCAAGTCATTCTCGCCACCTTCAGCCTCTCCCAGTAGCTGATAGCAGGCATGCACCACACCTGGCTACAATTTGTAATTTTTATTTTTTGGTAGGGATTGGCTTCACGCATGGTTGCCGCCAGCACTGGTTCCACCCTTGGGGCTCCAAGAGGATCCTCCCGGTCGGCT